CATAATCAGGGCGAAACTGGATTCGAACCCAGGATCATAGGTTTCTACCATACCCACGGGACGCAACTTTGCCAATTGAGGCGCCTGACACGACTGGGCCACCCTATCATTGAGTACTTAAATGACATGCCACTGTTATTACGGATCCGTTCTTAACCTTTAGCAGAATACAATCATCTACAATGATTTGAAATAATAATGTAACAGTTTGCAAGGCGAATTGTTGTCATTTCAATGTGATAGTAGCGGTACATTTTGACATGTGAGCTCATGGCTGAATGTGTAATGCTGTATTGGTTGATGGAGATCAAGTATAACCCCGATGGTGTGGATGGTTGCCCACACATTGATGTGTCTTGTCTAGCCTCTTCTGTTTACAGGTTAACGTAATAAGGCGTAAATATTGATAGATATAGCGTAAAAGAATAAATAAACAGACACAGACGCAAACTAACGTTACAAGTTCCAGTCGAACGCACAAGTACCCGTGACCTCTCACGTCAGTTAAGAGAGTGTTTTTTGTTAGGGCGACACGTTTATGAGTGAGGTGGATGTAAAAACCTCCTAGCGTCCCCAGGCAGCTTGGGTTGTATATTCCCCAGGGAGTTGAGAATGATAATTGGAAAGCGAACGAATCCACTGGTCGGGAAACAAATAAAAACCGCAACTGAGCAGATACTAGTACCTGGATACCTGCGGTATATGTTTATAAATAAAAAAATATATACAGTTTCTGATAATACTTATAATCATGACCAAGGATAGTTCAAGGAATCAAGGTGTATTACACATGCTTGGTTTCAAGCTATGCAAGAGGCTTTATGAATACACCAGCCGTACAGCCATCGTTGACTCATCTGTTTTCACACATCACATCATAATTTTAATATTGATAAGACAACCAGCTCCCATGTACAATAATGATTAGCTTTTAATTAAAATAAAACCCGTGTTGATGTCATGTGAAGCATACTTTCAACATGAAATATATGAAGCCTGAACGCAAATTAAGTTATGTTCATCTGTTCTGCTATTTGCCTATGTAACCACGTGGATGGTAGATATTAATTCTGATAACAAGCGAGTGCCAAGGAACACACCAGCCAGATGCAACACATTTCTAAAGGTCGATGTTCCTGGTCAAGTTAATGTGACATCGTATTTAATATGGACTTACGTTGGTATGTAGGTCATCATTGCAGTGTAGACAACACATAAGATCATCTATATATTGCGGACACGGGCCAGGAGAGATTGTTGAACAGCCGCTACCTCATTTATCTAAAAGGTATCGTATTTGTGTCTTGCTGAGATAATGTTAGGCAAGGCACGATGAATGAAAGTTTATTGGCGAAATTAATCCATCAATTGTTTGCGGTTCTATGGAGTTTTGGCAGATCAGAATCTAAACCCAATTTGCCAACTGGTATACGAATACATATTTATTATCGAGATGGGAATTGAGGGGAATATCATTGCATTACATCTGCGCTGTAAATCATCAAAGAAAATTACTTCAAAGTTCACGTTTGACTGCCAGTCACTAATTCAAGTGATGCTCCTGCATGTTCTTGAGTTATCCCTGTCGGTGTTGTACCAACTCGATATACTCTAAGGACGCCGCTGACGTCTTAACAAAAATGACGTTGTATATTAATAGTATGTGACGTAAAACATTAACAGAACTAGATTCTTTTCATCCTTTACGTTCACAAGAGTAAATTTTATAGAGTTGGTTATTGCATCCAGCCAATGGATGTTTCGCGTTGATCTCCAATCTTAATGATTAATGTTAGGAAAACGCAGTCTTGACGTCAATCAATCGACGCGATCCGCGAGAGGTATTTTAAGTCCGAAATTACAAATAATAATTTGAATTACTTAGAGAAAGTTCATTTTGTCAAAAAGTTACCATTAGCACGATCAGGTTATCCGTAGTCGATTATGACGTAACGCGTTAATTCTGGTTTAATTTTTATTTAATTAATGAATTAATAGCAACGGAGACAGCCGAAAAACTGTGACAACAGGATAATCTTGCAAGCGCTTCCTGAAACAAGCGGTTCTTATCTGGGGATGAGATAATCACAAAAATCAAAACGAAATTGTACATGCTTAATCTAGTGAAACAAAAATAGCATAGCATTGCATTTATTCATGCCCCAAGGGAGTTAACTCGCATCGATGAGTGATCACCCATAAAAATCAGCAAAAAGCTCTAGCGGAAATTCTGAATTCCCCCCGAGTGTCATATAAAACTCACATCCAACATTCCCTGCCCTGCGGAAGGGCATGAAAAATGATATTCTCCTAAAAACTATCATTTTCAGATAATTTTGCTATAATGATTCTTCCCGTATCCGAGCATATTTTTGCTGTCTGTGCGAGGTTCCCGTCATATACAATAATCCGGTCTTTGGGGGCATATGTTTTTTCAAGGAAGCATAACAGACGTAGCTGATTGTAGTTTGACAAAGTTTTTATCTGACGCTGGAATAATGTCTTTTAGGCAATTGGTTTTAAAACCGTATTTACAACGTCAGCTTTATGAATAGATAGCAGCTGCATACAACTTTAATTCACCATGAATAGAGATGCTGTAGAATGTAAAGTTTTGTCGAGTAAATTGTCAATTGTCTTTTTGCTAAAATCGAAGTTTCAAAGATAAAAAACAACGTTTTCAGGACACTGTGGCGCCTTTGTCGACGTTCACATATTAGAGTTGTAAACCATAGCAACCAACAAGGCCTCGCTAGTCCTGGGTTCAAATCCAAGATTTTCTATAACTTGTATACCTCATCTGTCCGCAGGTACCCTTTGTGCTAGTGAGTTCCTAAGGTTTGTTTGGTTGGTTTGTTGTTTAACGCCGCACTCAGCAATATTCCAGCTATATGACGGCGGTCTGTAAATAATCGAGTCTGGACAGGCAATCCAGTGATTAATATCATGAGCATCGATCCACGCAATTGGGATCGATGACATGCATTAACCAAGTCAGCGAGCTTGACCACCCGATCCCGTTAGTCGCCTTTTACGACAAGCATAGTCACCTTTTACAGCAAGAATGGGTTGCTACCCCGGAATCGGTTCCTAAGGAACGCGGTTGTGAGTGTTGGAAAACGGTATAGTTGCTGTCCCACTGTACACTAGTACATAAACGGTTCCTTCCAGGTGATTGGTTTTATTCTTCTTTCGAACTGTGAATGGTAGCCCTCAAGCCATATTCGTTCATGCTAAAAATGAAGAAAGTGATTTTTTATGCACTTGACCCTTTGACCGTACGTCTAAGTACATATGTAAAAATAAATACATATCTTAAACAAGAGCCACATTAATGTGTTTTTGATCCCGTATGGGATTAATGAACTTGAATTTGAATAAATAAGTGGAAGAAAATATTCGTATTCAGATCTCTAACAAAACTACAGATACAGCGTGGATAAAGCGTAAGTCGGTCAGTAAAGAACCAACGCTAAGTTCAAGCAAGTCAGCAAGGTTATCAACATAGTGGAACATCAGCTCCGAAAATGATATATGTGTGTACATGGCCACTGAGAGGGGTATTGATTGATATTCAGACCGTGCTGGAAAGATTCCCATTCCTGGATAAGGTGAACAATTAGGTTAAGCTGCTCATGACGCTGCATAAGTTAAATAGTTAAAAATAGTAAGAGTGTTTGTAGGCAGTGTTTGTAGCATGTGTAACGATGGCCCTTCAAACCACGAAGGCAATGTAGACAATGACGATCGTATTGGCGGTTTGACGGTTGGCGGTTGTAGGTAGTGTAACCAGTGCAGGTTGTGTAGCCAGTGTAGTTAGTGTAACCAGTGTAGTTGGTGTAACCAGTGTAGATAGTGTAACCAGTGTAGTTGGTGTAGCCAGTGAAGTTGGTGTAGCCAGTGTAGTTAGTGTAACCAGTTTAGTTAGTGTAACCAGTGAAAAAATTAGTAACCAGCGTAGTAAGTGTAGTTAGTGTAACCAGTGTAGTTGGTGTAGCCAGTGTAGTTGGTGTAACCAGTGTAGTTGGTGTAACGAGTGTAGTTGGTGTAACGAGTGTAGTTGGTGTAACCAGTGTAGTTGGTGAAGCCAGTGTGGTTGGTGTAACCAGTGTAGTTGGTGTAGCCAGTGTAGTTGGTGTAACCAGTGTAGTTGGTGTAACCAGTGTTGTTAGTGTAACCAGTGTAGTAAGTGTAGCCAGAGGAGTTACTGTAACCAATGTAGTTAGTGTAACCAGTGTAGTTAGAGTAGCCAGAGGAGTTATTGTAACCAGTGTAGTTGGTGTATCCAGTGTAGTTAGTGTAACCAGTGCAGGTTGTGTAGCCAGTGTAGTTGGTGTAGCCAGTGTAGTTGGTGTAGCCAGTGTTGTCGGTGTAGCCAGTGTAGGTGGTGTAACCAGTGTAGTTGGTGAACCAGTGTAGTTAGTGTAGTCAGCGTAGTTGGTGTAACCATTGTAGTTAGTGTAACCAGTGTAGTTGGTGTAGTCAGTGTAGTTGGTGTAACCAGTGTAGTTGGTGTAGCCAGTGTAGTTGGTGTAGCCAGTGTAGTTGGTGTAGCCAGTGTAGTTGGTGTAACCTGTGTAGTTGGTGTAGCCAATGTAGTTGGTGTAACCAGTGTAGTTAGTGGAACCATTGGAGTTAGTGTAACCAGTGTAGTTAGTGTAACCATTGGAGTTAGTGTAACCAGTGTAGTTGGTGTAACCAGTGGAGTTGGTGTAGCCAATTTAGTTGGTGTAACCAGTGTAGTTAGTGTAACCAGTGTAGTTAGTGTAACCAGTGTAGTTGGTGTAACCAGTGTATTTGGTGTAACCAGTGTAGTTGGTGTAGCCAGTGTAGGTGGTGTAACCAGTGAAGTTGGTCTAGCCAGTGTTGTTGGTGTAACCAGTGTAGTAAGTGTAACCAGTGTAGTTGGTGTAACCAGTGTAGTTGGTGTAGCCAGTTTAGTTCGTGTAGCCAGTGTAGTTGGTGCAGCGAGTGTAGTTGGTGTAGCCAGTGTAGTTGGTTTAACCTGTGTAGTTGGTGTAGCCAGTGTAGTGAGTGTAACCAGTGTAGCTGGTGTATCCAGAGGAGTTAGTGTAACCAGTGTAGTTGGTGTAACCAATGTAGTTGGTGTAGCCAGTGTAGTTGGTGTAACCAGTGCAGGTTGTGTAGCCATTGTAGTTAGTATAACCAGTGTAGTTGGTGAAGCCAGTGTAGTTAGTGTAACCAGAATATTTAGTGTAACCTGTGTAGTTGGTGTAGCCAGTGTAGTTAGTGTAACCAGTGTAGATGGTGTAACCAGTGCAGGTTGTGTAGCCAGTGTAGTTAGTGTAAACAGTGTAGTAAGTGTAACCAGTGTAGTTGGTGTAACCAGTATAGTTGGTGTAGTCAGTGTAGTTGGTGTAGCCAGTGTAGTTGGTGTAGCCAGTGTAGTTAGTGTAACCAGTGTAGCTGGTGTATCCAGAGGAGTTAGTGTAGCCAGAGGAGTTAGTGTAACCAGTGTAGTTGGTGTAACCAGTGCAGGTTGTGTAGCCAGTGTAGTTAGTATAACCAGTGTAGTTGGTGAAGCCAGTGTAGTTAGTGTAACCAGAATATTTAGTGTAACCAGTGTAGTTGGTGTAGCCAGTGTAGTTAGTGTAACCAGTGTAGATGGTGTAACCAGTGCAGGTTGTGTAGCCAGTGTAGTTAGTAAAACCAGTGTAGTTGGTGTAGCCAGTGTAGTTAGTGTAACCAGAATATTTAGTGTAACCAGTGTAGTTGGTGTAGCAGGTGTTGTTAGTGTAACAAGTGTAGTTAGTGTAACCAGTGCAGGTTGTGTAGCCAGTGTAGTTGGTGTAACAAGTGTAGTTAGTGTAACCAGTGTAGTTGGTGTAGCCAGTGTAGTTAGTGTAGCCAGAGGAGTTAGTGTAGCCAGTGTGGTTGGTGTAACCAGTGTAGTTGGTGTAGCCAGTGTAGTTGGTGTAACCAGTGTTGGTAGTGTAACCAGAGTAGTTAGTGTAACAAGTGTAGTTAGTGTAACCAGTGCAGGTTGTGTAGCCAGTGTAGTTGGTGTAGCCAGTGTGGTTGGTGTAGCCAGTGTAGTTGGTGTAGCCAGTGTAGTTGGTGTAACCAGTGTTGGTAGTGTAACCAGAGTAGTTAGTGTAACCAGTGCAGTTGGTGTAACCAGTGTAGTTGGTGTAGCCAGTGTAGGTGGTGTGACCAGTGTAGGTGGTGTAACCAGTGTAGTTGGAGTAACCAGTGTAGTTAGTGTAGTTAGTGTAAGCAGTGTAGTAGGTGTAAGCAGTGTAGTTGGTGTAGCGAGTGTAGGTGGTGCGACGAGTGTAGGTGGTGTAACCAGTGAAGTTAGTGTAACCAGTGTAGTTGGCGTAAGCAGTGTAGTTGGTGTAGCGAGTGTTGTTAGTGTAACCAGTGTAGTTGGTGTAACCAGTGTAGTTGATGTAGCTAGTGTAGGTGGTGTGACCAGTGTAGGTGGTGTAACCAGTGTAGTTGGTGTAACCAGTGTAACTGGTGTAACCAGTGTAGTTGGTGTAACCAGTGTAGTTAGTGTAACAAGTGTAGTTAGTGTAACCAGTGTAGTTGGTGTAGCCAGTGTAGTTAGTGTAGCCAGAGGAGTTAGTGTAACCAGTGTTGTTAGTGTAACCAGTGCAGGTTGTTTAGCCAGTGTAGTTAGTGTAACCTGTGCAGGTTGTGTAGCCAGTGTAGTTAGTGAAACCAGTGCAGGTTTTGTAGCCAGTGTAGTTAGTGTAACCAGTGTTGTTCGTGTAACCAGTGTAGTTAGTGTAACTTGTGCAGGTTGTGTAGCCAGTGTAATTAGTGTAACCAGTGCAGGTTGTGTAGCCAGTGTAGTTAGTGTAACCAGTGTAGTTAGTGTAACCAGTGTAGTTAGTGTAACCAGTGTTGTTAGTGTAACCAGTGTTGTTAGTGTAACCAGTGTATGATGTTGCTGTTGTTTCTTCTGCTGCTGACTTTGAGTATTGTATTTTCAGAAACGAATAAATGACGTAGTGCTCGACCACGTTATGAACGAGCGAGAGAATCCTTATGTCCAATTTGATACTACGCATTGCCACGTAAAGCAAAAACACAAAATGTTGTCTTAGGAAATTCATCAATTTTTCAACTGATGTATTGGTGACCGTTTATGTCGTCAGTGGGTTCTTTCGTAATTTCACGGAAGAGTATATGCATTATGCTAGAACCGGTCACCTTCAGGCCAAAGACTATATTTTCAGGTTCTATCTGACCTTTTGCAGCCAAGTCTGCCCATAGCTTCAACGTAATCATGAGTGAGTGAGTGAGTTGGTTTTTCGCCGCTTTTTGCAATATTCCAGATAATATCTCGGTGGGGGACACCTGAAATGGACTTTAGGCATACTACCTCACACATTTATAAGGAACTGAAACCGGAGCTTCGTCATGACGAGTAAATGTCTATCCAATCGATAACAAAAATCAATAAAGTTCTTCTGTGAACGTTCATACGATTCTTCGTTCAACCGTGAAGCAATGTGAATCACAGCAACACCCACCAATACGTTGAACAATGTGGACACACAGAACTCAGCCTGCGTTAACCAGAGATGTGTTGTGTGCACCTCTAAAGATATACAAAGACATGTTTTATTATTAAATAAAACTGCAGCGATGTTTCGAGTTGATCACAAGGGAAATATCATTTCCCTCATTCCCCCTACACACTATAGTTGTATTATCCTGACGCTATAAAAAGTTTGATTGAAACCTGAAGCAGATCAAATATGTATGTGTATGAGGAGTACACAATGTGCAAGCGATTGCCTGACACTCCCGGGAGATCACATAAAACAGAGAATGTCACAGCTGAATAGGTCGGAGACGTGTTTGACAGATGAGTGGAGGTTTTTTTTGTGGGAAAGCAAGCTATGTTTTGGTTGGTAAACATTCTGTTGTAAGTGTCATTGTTTGTTAAGTGACATCCTGCTGTTTCATAAATATGCTAAAGGTTCTTGTTTTTTCCTGTCCTTCAGACGTTCCGCAACTGAAAACTAATGTTGTTTCATATTGGATATGTGGGTTCCATACTTGATGTGATATGCGTGTAGAGGTTTTGTAACGTACTTCCAAATACGCGACGAGGACAAGCATGCATAAAGGTGAATATGAAGAAGAAAAAAAAAATATGCGCTCAAGATTGATTACATGTATATATTTTCCTTTTTCCTTGCGCTTCATTCCTAATGGATGCTTAAAAAGTAAGCAACACCATCGGTAGTTTTCACAAAGATGTCTGCGGTCTGAATACGTAGATATCTATCAATAAACATCAGCACCCCCGTATCAGAGTCTGCACCCACACCTGCTCCAGAGTTGCACCCTCTCTCGCATCCGAGCACACGCCCAAAGCCACACGCACACAGCCGTACACATCCACACACGCACACAGTCGTACACATCCACACACGCACACAGTCGTTCACATCCACACACGAACACAGTCGTACACATCCACACACGCACACAGTCGTACACATCCACACACGCCCAAAGCCACACGCACACAGCCGTACACATCCACACACGCACACAGTCGTACACATCCACACACGCACACAGCCGTACACATCCACACACGCACACAGCCGTACACATCCACACACGCACACAGTCGTACACATCCACACACGCACACAGTCGTACACATCCACACACGCACACAGCCGTACACATCCACACACGCACACAGCCGTACACATCCACACACGCACACAGTCGTACACATCCACACACGCACACAGTCGTACACATCCACACACGCACACAGCCGTACACATCCACACACGCACACGGCCGTACACATCCACACACGCACACAGTCGTACACATCCACACATGCACACAGCCGTACACATCCACACACGCACACAGCCGTACACATCCACACACGCACACACACACACACACAGCCGTACACATCCACACAGGCACACAGCCGTACACATCCACACACGCACACACACACACACACACAGTCGTACACATCCACACACGCACACAGCCGTACACATCCACACACGCACACAGCCGTACACATCCACTCACGCACACAGCCGTACACATCCACTCACGCACACAGCCGTACACATCCACACACGCACACAGCCGTACACATCCACTCACGCACACAGTCGTACACATCCACACACGCACACAGCCGTACACATCCACACACGCACACAGCCGTACACATCCACACACGCACACAGCCGTACACATCCACACACGCACACAGCCGTACACATCCACACACGCACACAGCCGTACACATCCACACACGCACACAAACAATACACTCACATCCAAACAGCCAAGCCCCACACGTCCAACTAAACAACCACTAATCACACTTACATCCACACCCCGAACCCACACTCACAAACCCACACGTCCAACTAAACAACCACTAATCACACTTACATCCACACCCCGAACCCACACTCACAAACCCACATGTCCAACTACACAGCTATCCACCACACTCACATCCACACAGCCCAGCCACAGGCATCCATCTATGCAACAATCCATAACGCTCTCATCAACACAGACAAGCTCGACACGTCCATCTACAAAACTATTCATCCGACTCACACCCGCACAGCCAAGCACCTCACGTCCAGCTATATAACCTCTAATCACACCAGCAACACATTCACATCCACACCCCAACTACTACACGTTCATCTAGACAACCAGCACCACACCCCCATCCACACCCCAACCACCACACGTTCATCTACACAACCAGCACCACATTCATATCCACACCTCAACCACCACACGTTCATCTACACAACCAGCACCACATTCATATCCACACCTCAACCACCACACGTGCATCTACACACCCTGCACCACATTCATATCCACACCTCAACCACCACACGTCCATCTACACAACCAGCAACACACTCACATCCACACCCCAACCACCACACTTTCATCTGTACAACCAGCACCACACGTCCAGCTAAATAACCTCTAATCACACTCATCCACACCTCAACCACCACATGTTCATCTACACAACCAGCACCACATTCATATCCACAACCCAAGCACCACACTTGCATCTACACAACCAGCACCACACTCACATCCACACCCCAACCACCACACGTTCATCTACACATCCAGCACCACATTCACATCCACACTAAAACCACCACACGTTCATCAACACAACCTGCACCACACTCACATCCACACCCCAACCACCACACGTTCATCAACACAACCAGCACCACACTCATATCCACTGCCAAACCACCACACGTTCATCTACACAACCAGCACCACACTCACATCCACACCCAAACCACCACACGTTCATCTACACAAACAGCACCACACTCACATCCACACCCAAACCACCACACGTTCATCAACACAACCTGCACCACACTCACATCCACACCCCAACAACCACACTTTCATCTGTACAACCAGCACCACACGTCCAGCTAAATAACCTCTAATCATACTCATCCACACCCAAACCACCACATGTTCATCTACACAACCAGCACCACACTCATATCCACTACCCAACAACCACACGTTCATCTACACAACCAGCACCACATTCACATCCACACCCAAACCACCACACGTTCATCTACACAACCAGCACCACATTCACACACTTACACCTGTACAAGTGTACAACCAGCACCACACGTCCAGCTAAATAACCTCTAATCACACTCATCCACACCCCAACCACCACACGTTCATCTACACACCTCACCCCTACCTCCACACGTTCATCTACACACCTCACCCCAACCTTCACACTTTCATCTACAAACCTCATCCCTACCTCCACACGTTCATCTACACACCTCACCCCAACCTCCACCCGTTCATCTATACACCTCACCCCAACCTCCAATCGTTCATCTACACACCTTACCCCTACCTCCACACGTTCATCTACACACCTCACCCCAACCTCCACCCGTTCATCTATACACCTCACCCCAACCTCCAATCGTTCATCTACACACCTCACCCCAACCTCCACACGTTCATCTACACACCTCACCCCAACCTCCACACGTTCATCTACACACCCAACCCCAACCTCCACTCGTTCATCTACACACCCAACCCCAACCTCCACTCGTTCATCTACACACCTCACCCTAACCTCCACACGTTCATCTACACACCTCACCCCAACCTACACACGTTCATCTACACACCTCACCCTAACTACCGGACCGGACATACCCAACATCTGTGGTTGTCTTTGTTAAATTAACGTAACCCTCAACCTGTTTACATCCAAGCACACGCCCAAAGCCACACGCACACAGTCGTACACATCAACACACACACATATCCAAAAATACATCCACATCCATGTCGTCGTCAACACTCACGTCTTCGTCCCCATCCCAGTCTATACCCACGTATATACAGCAACAGCACCCACAACCAAAAACACACTCACACACACACACACACACACACACACACACACACACACACACACACACACACACACACACACACACACACACACACACACACACACACACACACACACGCACACACACACACACACACACACACGCACACGCACACACACACACGCACACAACCAATACACTAACATCCAAACAGCCAAGCCCCACACGTCCAACTAAACAACCACTAATCACACTTACATCCAAACCCCGAACCCACACTCACAAACCCACATGTCCAACTACACAGCTATCCACCACACTCACATCCACACAGCCCAGCCACAGGCATCCATCTATACAACAATCCATAACGCCCTCATCCACACAGACAAGCTCGACACGTCCATCTACAAAACTATTCATCAGACTCACACCCGCACAGCCAAGCACCTCACGTTGAGCTATATAGCCTCTAATCACACCAGCAACACACTCGCATCCACACCCCAACTACTACACGTTCATCTGGAAAACCAGCACCACACCCCCATCCACACCCCAACCACCACACGTTCATCTACACAACCAGCACCACATTCATATCCACACCTCAACCACCACACGTTCATCTACACAACCAGCACCACACTCACATCCACACCCCAACCACCACACGTTCATCAACACAACCAGCACCACATTCATATCCACACCTCAACCACCACACGTTCATCTACACAACCTGCACCACATTCATATCCACACCTCAACCACCACACGTTCATCTACACAACCAGCACCACATTCATATCCA